GTCCGAGTTGGCGTCCACCGAACCACGGCACAACTCATTCAAACTGATTGCCAGAGATATCGGATTGTCCTCGGTACGCAGCAAACGCAGTCCGTAACGTTTTGCGACTGCGTCGAGACCGTCACGGAGACGAACGAAACAAGCGGTGCGTCGTTCGATGTGTTCGGTCCAACCGGTGGAACCTAGGTGCAACANATCGATGGTGTGCCTGAAGCTCGACCTATGTGTGTGCGGAAAAGCAAAATGACGTGTTAGGGTCTAAAGAAATCGGAATGGAGAAACGACAATGTGCATATTTTGTCAGTCCTTTTCGCCTAATTTCATTAATATAAGATGCACAAGTTTTCTTCGTGAGACTAAACCAAATGGGATTCACGATTAGGTATGCCGTTAAAAAAGGAAAATTTTCATGTTGCAAAAATGGTTGCGATGTGACGATTTTCATGTGCAATTTTGGGTTGATTTGCCAACCCTGATCCATAATGTGGTGTGCTTCTCAACCAATCAACATTCAATATCCACGTCCAATACCGATGGAAGAATTTGCTTGCCACTCTGGCTTCTTTTTCACAGCATAAGGATAGGAATAATTGACTATCTGTCCGAAACGGAGAATGTTGCCTTTCAAGCATTTATACACATGCAGCATGCAGCACACTGATATGCTCTCGTTGTCTAGGTAACAAACTTCATCTACATTCTCGTTTGTTTTCCTGTTAGACTGAGGTTGGGAATTGAGCGTACCCAGTCCTGCAAAAACATATGACACTTTAAAGGTTTAGAAATACATGGCAACAATAACTATCCGAACAGTCAACTCATCCAAAAAGCTTGCTATTTAACTTGGTCCATACACAATGGTACAGATCAAACAATTTGCCACCTGCGGGAGTAAATCGGTACCGCTATCCGAGCACGAGGTCGAGACTGTTTGCGGAATAACATCCATTGCGAGGCTCGATAGAAAAGAAGAGATGGGAGCGTGGCAAACGTCGTTTTACATGGTGTATCAGGGAAAAAACAGTCATGAGTTCAAACACAGCCGTACTTGTTCGTATGCAGGGATTGAAGCAAAGAAATCCCCGTTCCCCGGTAACTTAATCGAGCAGAGGTAGCAACAGAGTCCTGTGCGGTTCACTGAAAATAGTTAGCTACCCTGTTGAAGTCGGAGGTGGTAAATCTTATTTCCACAGGGGGCCTTAGAATTTTCACCGATGAATGTGAATCAGTGTACCAACAGACTCACTTTCTGAAGGCAAAAAATGGCGACTTTTACCGACAACCACTGTCTTCTCCATCACTCTACATTTCTATACGCACCTCTTATCGCGGTCAAAACGATGGCACAAAATCCAAGTACAAATGATGGAGTTCTTGGACTGAATTAAATCCAGACAAGAAGTGATCACTCGTCTTTGGCACATAGCACAATCTTGACTTCGGCAACAGTACCGCAAGCACCAGAGGATTGATTTCAAGCGATGAGTCACACAAGGTCCAAACAGAATGAATATATAATTACGATAAATTGTTTCATTATAATTGGATACAATCACGAGCGCCCTTTGATTGGCTGCGCTATACTTACACGCTCTCCGTCACATTGTGGGAATTTCCACCTTTCCACTCACTATCATGCGCCATCGTTACTCACGGGATGATATTATTTGTTTCAAACGTGCCAGGACATGCTTCGATGGTTCAGCGGTTTGTGCGACTCCATTTTCTCACTGTCCAGGCTGGACCAAAGAACGCAAGCATGCAGGATGGCAAGTTGCCCTTAATCGCACCCCTCTGTCAAAGATGACTGTCCCCTTATTAGTCAGCACCAACTCTCGGTCCCTGCTTCCCGAAATGTCGGATTTAACTAGTGTCCTCCGATCAAGAATTCATAAGAACACGTGTGCAGTCTGTGTTCAAGAATCCTGATTGAATAAGGACGTAGATGACTCCCTAGTGTCAATAGACGGTTTTCAAGTTTACTGGCGGGATCGTGGAACCGCAGAACAAAAGACCGGAGGGGGTGTTGCCACATATGTCAACGTTTCCTGGTGTGGTAATTCCCATGTTGTTTATCAGTACTGCTCAAAAGGTATTGACTGTCTAACTATACAGTGTCACCCTAGATTTTCCCGTTTTACTCACACAATTTTGACTAACTTGTATATAGTCCCCTCCTGTACACAGCCTGATCGTATGTCATTTTTGGACTCGTTCATACCTTTTATTGCCCCACTTTTAGATGTTAACCTGCACATAATCGTTGGTGACTTCAACCATACTAGCACTTATCCATTTTTATCATTGGGTATGACAGATCTTAGTCACTCTCCCACAAGAGGTAACACTGTACTGGACAGAGTTATCACCAATCGCTCAACCCTTTTTTCGTTAGCACTAAAAGCTCCGATTATTTCCAGTGACCATTGCTTACTCTTGGTTCGACCTAGTTTATTCACAAAGTGCATACAAATCTTTCTCCCGATCTGAGCACATCAGATTTCGTTTCCTTAACTTCTCACCTACACGTGTTTCTCTCCTGAAATAATCTCTCAGACAGGCCTCCCGATGGTTTCCGTCATCTTCTCTGCTCGCATGTGTTCCCCTATTCACCCAAACAATCAATGCCATTTTTAATATTTACTGTCCTGTTCCCTAAGTGTCCAACGGAAGGATAAATTTGCCCTACTAAAGTCACTGCGAAGACAAAAGGTACGTGCGTACAAATCTCACAATGCTTCAGTTGTTAGGTATTTGTCCAGGTTTATCAAATCAAAAGTAAATAGATTGAACGCATCATTCTCTAATCGAATTCCGGGGACTGAAAATAGAAAACACCTGTGGCAAAGTATAAGACCTCTCAGTGGAAGGAAGAACACACGGTCGAAGTCGGATGTGAATGCTGATGATCTTAACGCCGCATTCCGGCGCCAATCATCGGACATTCTTCCTGCCTACTCATCACAAAATGTTTGTAACGTAGAACCACTATCACATTGTGATGTGTTAAAACTTTTAAAAAGTTCCAAGTCGTCTTCTGCTGCAGGCCCGGATGACTTACATCCAACCCTCTTCAAATTTGGTGCTGCTTCCCTAGCTGGGGCAATCACCTCCGTTGTAAATGAATCTCTTAACACTTCTACTATCCCCGACTGTTGGAGGCCGGTCTCAATCATACCGTTCAAATCTTCTACCTTCTCTAATCGTTTTCGTCCCATAGCATAAACATCTTCGGCCCTTAAATCGGCTGAAAAAGGGCATCCTTAAACGCCTTCAGCAGCCTATAAACATTCCCAATGATCCGTTACCGTTTGCTTACAAGCCTAATAGATCCACCTTGGACGCAGTCTCTACCCTCATTCATTTTATCACTAAATCGTTGAACAGCTCTGTTAAGTCTGTTCGGTGTGTTTTTCTCGACTACTCTTCTGCAGTTGATTCCATTCCTAGATCTAAGTTGCTACAAAACCTGGAATCGTTTGAATGACCCAAGCAGTTGTTAGCTTGACTATCCAAATATTTTACTGATAAAGTACAAACCACAAGATTGGAGAAGGCCACATCGAAACCCTTAGTCAACAACTCCGGGGTCCCTCAAGGAGCTGTGCTATGCCCATACTTATTTTTCACTTATATTTGTGATATTCCCTGTGCTTCTCTCGCACGAATTTTGACATATGAAGATTACGTCGTGTTGTGCCAGTCCATTTCTTCTTACTCTGATCTAAGCTCTTTCACCGACAATCTTGATCAAATTCAGTTATTCTCCTCCTCGTTGGGGCTAACCCTGAACCCCAGTAAATGTGTTGAGTGTTTGTATAGTTTTGCTCGCTCTCCATATCCGACAGACCACTCTGTCAAATTTCTTGGTGTAACCAGAGATAGCAGTCTGCATTGGTCAACCCACATTCATAACTGCATTGGTAAACTGCGGCGCCTATCATTTCGAATACGAAAGCTCAGGCAGTTTTGCGCATCCCAGTCACTTATTTCTACCTTGGTTCATCAGTGTGTTTTCCCCATCTTACTCTACTGTTCTCCAGTTATTTTTCCTGGCTTACTCAAACAGGATTTCAAAGTCTTACGCCGCGGTCTAACCATTATTAGTCGTGTCTCTTCCAGTCCTGTGAATGAGTTAGCGTTAAAGCTCCCAGAATATCACGTATTTTCCTGTGCTGAGAAGATTCTCACAGATCCTGACTACCCATTGAATGCAGAACCGACAATTTGTCGTTCCCATTCAACACGCTCTCAATTCCGCCAAATTTCATTTCGAATTAACGCATACCGCAATTCATTTGATATATCAAATTTCGTGAGAGGGACATATGTGTGCAGTATCACCTGCGTTGGCTTACCCGGATATGTTTTGGCCACTTCCGAGACCAGATCTTTGTCGAATCCCGCGACAATTGCTCCACCGACGGGAACCAAGAGATTTTTGTCTGTACTTTGTACATACAACAGGTCGATTGGATGCCCGGGAGGCGGGATGGTTTTGGCTGGAGGTGACCGAGAAACACACACGTGCACAACGATTAAACATGGTATCACTTTGGGATGACACGAAAAACTTCGGATTTCGCTTCACAGATAAACACACCTAGTAGTCTATCAGCGTTTTGTTTGATTTGTCATCTTGCACACAGCGGATGCTATTATTATGGGTAAATGGTCTTTAGGCCAAGTAAGAAAATGATCAGGATTGCAAGTTCCAAAGGAGGAGGAAATGGATCATATGTGCAGTCGGGAAGGACAAGGTACAGATGATGAACAGTGATTGACAACTGTTTCTTCACTTAAAAAAAAAAAAGAAACAAAGTAACCATCACATCAAATACGCATCTCGATCAATTGCAAACAAGCCAAAGAAGTATCAGCTGAATAAGTCGGAACTAAAGAATGGGGCTTGTTCCACCAAATCAAATCTGATTGCCATTTGCTAACTTTTTCGGTACAGTACGCCAACAGGGAGTGAGCAGAATTCCACTAAATTGCTTAGCACGCCGGTCATTCGATTGCGCAGGGAGCGAGCTCCAGTTTGTACAACAATCTGGAAGCCATTTTGGTTCCGATAGTCAACAGTGATTCAGTGATTCACAAATGCACGGTTCAAAAAGAACCCCCAGTACAATGAAATCTGATTTCACCTCTTAACGAATTCGCACATGGACGTCTAAGTATATGGAGAAGGAAACTGAGGGTATTTTTATGCAGCCAGTTCGTGTGAAAGTCAAAGGTTTATTGTGGGAAATACTTACAAGCGGTTGCTTTTCTTGTCCCAAAATGGATCGTTCGATAAGGTTCACAGAAAGATGAAGGATGTCACAAATTATTCTTATTTCATGCGCCGCTATGGTGGTTGAAATTTAATTCTTGTCAAAGTTTCAGCCAGTTTGTGCTTGAAAGAAACAATTGAGGGGGGGGCACAGAAACGTGATAAGAATTCCAAATACAGTCAATCTCCTGTTATGTTGCACCCCTGAGAAGTTGCAAATTCCAATATCTTCCCACGTTTTCGAAAACCCAAACCAACCGTATATGTAACAATGTAGTTTCTGACTATGCAACGTCACACCCCTCAATATGTTGCAGTTCCTGATCCGTACTCACTTGATCGTTGGCCGATGTTCGGGAGGACAAGTGATCATCCACCCTGAAATGTTGCACTCAACCAATGGCGTTTCACCTAATGTGACACGTTCATGGCACTGTTCACTGATTGGACAATCCTTGCGAGGAA